CCATCCTTAGGAATCCATTTCAGGCTGCTTGAAGATGCTTCCTCCGTGTCCCTTTTTGGAACCTCCAAAAGTGGCAGCTTCAATGGAAACCATTCCTATGTGTTTTTATTTTTCCTGGTGAGGGCCTGCAAGCTGCTCTGTCAGAATCCATGGCCTATGCCATCATGTTCAGAGGAATCTCCTACAGGGATCCCACTATTTCCAGCCAATATCAAGAACAAAACACATGACGGCAAGGGAAACTCACGTTAAATGGGCCGAACAAGTAATGGTTGAAACCCCGAAAAAAAGAAGTATAGGGACCCCTGCTTTAGGGAGGGCCCTTTTTGGGAAGTGCTACGTTAATTTGCAAGAGAGTGAACGTTGAAACATCTGTGGGTACAGGTGCAAAGAAGCCAGACGAAGCCTCAAGGGCCACAGCGCATCTTTTGCAGCGAAACCGGCAAGCATCCCGGTGATCGTGAATATAGGGATCCACCACGGGCCTGTTGTGGCTCGCACGCCGCTTGGACGCATCAAGCAACCTACTTCAGGGATAGACAGGGGTGGGGCCCACAGAGCATCGAAGCGCGGAGCAGACAAAGAGGCTGCCAAATCCAACACACAAGGCCAGGGCATCTCAGGGCTAGTAAAAGCCAAACCACCAGGCATGGCGGTGGTTTGGCCACTTGGTCGTCTCAAGGCCAGGCTCTGACGCGTTTGTTCATCTCCCAGCTGGAAGAACAAGCCCCGGAACCTGCCCCGACTGAAAACCATTGGCGTAAACCCTATAGCTCCCGTAGTCCCGGACCCTGGGGAAAAACGGTGAAGGCTCTTTGCTCATCGCCCGCACTCCCTCACCCCACGGACAAAGGCGCGGCGCGTGCCCGCACATCTTCCACGCGAGGGCACGAGGCTGGAACCAAAAGGCAGCGCGGCAGGACGCACCTGTAAGCAATCCGAAACAGAACCAGATCACACATCCTTCGCTGAAGTTGAGTATTGTTTAGAACCCCCCTGATGATGAAGAAAATCAACGTGGCCATGTGCTCTCCAGTAGAAACTTCCAAACAAGGTCCTCGATTTTTCCCGCCCGAAAAGAAGCCGGCCCAGTTGGGCCCGGTTCTCCTGGCTCAGGTCTCCTTTCAGGGTGCATAGGGATAGCCCGGATACCCATGGGACCACCATTCGGTCAATATGATGTGCACGCCCCGCAAATGAAATGGGGTCATGCCTTCCACGTCGCGAATTTGTTGCCTTTGCTGGAAAGGAGGAACAGGGTCGCAAGGAGTCACGAATCTTCGTCGGGGCACTTCACTTAGTGCCATCAAATGAAGAGTGCTTGAATTGCCATTTGTTGAAGGATTTGGCTGCTCAAAAAGCCAAGCTCCTTTGCTCAAAACTTCCACCGCAAGCAGCCTTGCCTCATGCCTTCACCAAGGGGAGCTTCCTTGCTGCCTGACAAAAGCGGCGGGTCCAAGAGTAGGGATCTATGTTGACTTGTTGGATGTTGCTTTTCTACATAGGCACCTGAAGGATATCGTTTGCCACATTCGAACGAGGGCTCCTAGGCAAGTGGGCAAGTGAGTCAAGCTATGGTCCTTGATACGCGCGTCCATGCTTGCTCCTGCATTCAACCCCCAAGCTCCGATGACGGAAATGCCCATGCTCCTTTGCCCAGACCCACCGCACGTGCCCTCTGCCAACGGAATGGTACCAAAGTTGGAAATGCCGCTTTTTGGACGTCCTCACCGAGCCAAAAGGCTTAAACATAAAGAAGTTCAACTCTTTTGCGAGACAAAAATGCTGTTTTGGTGCAGATAGGCTGGAGTGCCACAAAACCAACATCAGGGGCGTCCCTTACGAGGTCGGAATCCATGTCACTTTGTGGTTTGAAACGCCGGCTGTAGATGGGAATGTGTCACACTGCAAAGAAGCAAAGTACTTTTGCAGCACCGAAAGGGGGCATAGGGTGTACAAGATTTGATTTTGCGTTGGTTATCGCAAGTTTTGTTAGTGTGTTCCAAATTGCCAAAGCTCGGCACGACCCCAATACTTAAGAGCCACCTTAAAGAGAAAGAATAACAAAAAACCGGGAATTCCCAGCCAGGACTCCCCGTATCGCAGGCTCCTCCAAGGGGATGCCCTCGGCCAGGTCGTGCAGGATCACCGTGTTCCGCTTGCTCTTGATCACCGGCTTCAGCTGCATGTTGGCCTAGGAAACAGCAAAAAAAGAAACAAACAGCCTGCCCACCACCCCCCGCCCCCCTTTTCAGATCAGAATCCACGTGAGCTTGCTTTTTCTGAGGGTGCCCGTTTTCATCCTGGTCTAAAGGAAACCAAAACGGAACCACAATTTTGGGGTCCTCCTAGCTTGACACATACCCACATTTCTCTTTGCGTTGAGACGTCTTTCTGAAAGTGTCGTCGACCCGCCAAAATTCGTCCCCGCCTTGTCGACCAGCACCGACTGTGATCGAAGCCTCAAGCTAAGCTTCAGCTTGTGCTGATGCAATCCAATAGCAGGAGGTGTCCTAAAAGTGAGATGACCCCAGTTGGATGCTGTACAAAGCAAAACCAAAAAGAAGCCACCTCCATGTCTTTAGGTAGGATCCCAAATTCTAGCCCAAACCAAATGCTGATATCTAAGCCTGGACCTCACTTCGGACCGTGTGAGTACGCCATGCCACTGTCCTACGAGTGGCAAAACCGAAAGTGACAATAGAACATGCAACTGTGGATGCCAAAGGAAAGAGTCCAAGACATTCCTGCAGTGCGAATCATTTGCGCCATTGAAGACATTGACATCTCTGCACAGTGGGCTGCAAACTTGACACATGCGTTTCAATTTGATTCTTCACATTGTCAACCCTGCAGTGCCAGCAGTTTCTGGCGCGCAGATCCCTATATACACTCAATCACTTGCAGATCCCCTACACTCGATCAAGTTCGGTTCTCACCACGTTTGCCCTAAACTGCCTTGCTTCGTTTGGTTTCCGTTTAAAACCATGAGGTTTCCCTTTAAAACCTTGCAAAGGGGGGGTCCACCCTTTCGATAAATCTCTGCTTCATTGCTGGCTCAAGTAAACTGAAGCTGAGAAACACCGGAAGCATGAGAAGAAGCTCAGAAAACTGCGATATCACGAGGTTGATACAAAGCATTCCATGAACACCAACGTCTGGTGAATGTATGGGTACACAAACAAACCTGTGGTCTTTTTGACGTACTGGTTGTCCGTTCCAAGGAGCTCACCCTTCTCGATGTGGCCAACAACATCCACGAACTCTCTCGGTCAACAGTCCAAGACAACTTGTGGTATCAACGGCATCACTGCTTCCAAAAACATGCTTTTTAGACCGCACCCTGCGATGCAGCTATTGAAATGTGCCAATCAAGTCTCTTGATCATAGCTGGTGGATCTGGGTGATTTTGACAAGTCCCAAGCACCACACTTATCTTTCTGGACTCAAAGAAATCGGGCTCTTCTGCAAAGGGCTGGATTTTGACAAAACGGGCCCCTTTCACCTGGCTCCAAGTGGCTCCCTCTTTTCTCGGGGTCCCGGCGCGGCGTCGTAGAGTGTGGCGACATCCACGGCCTGGAGTTGCTCGAACTGCTCGTGGCCTCCGATCCATGCAATGCGCATCGGGCGAGTCGAAAGGCGGTCCACTGGAAAGCTGTTTTTTTTTTCTCGGTGGGGTTGACGGGAAGTGATTGGGATCAACACCGGGAAAAAAACGCTGGAACACCAGAGAAATCCCTTCAGGAAAGAGATGCAAACACCAGGACCCAGTCAGGTTCCGTGCTTGCGGGCGGGAGGGAAATAACTCTCCGTCACACTGTTGTTGCAAGGATGCTACTTACTCCAGGTGCACATTGAAGGCCTGTGGAAGTCAGCTCGAGGCCAGCCAGCACTGCAAGCAAGGACTTTCCTGTAGGATTCGGGCATGTGAGTCAATACTCAAGCGGCTTATCTGTAAAGGCACCACTGCATACTATACGGGCCCTAAGGAGTAGAATGGGGTTGCAGGGTAATCTCTTCCCCCTATTAATAAATACGCCCACCCCCTCCCCTATTATAAATAAATCCTCCCAAAAATGTATGTTTTTTAGTCGGGGTTTTTGGGGTTGGGTTTTTTTGCTTTTCCAACAATGTGAGGGTTCACATAGGATTTGGAGGAAATGGATTGAATTGTAAGGTCCGCGAGTAAGCGGTTTAATAAGGAAATTCTATGTAACATTCTATTTGTTTTTCAGCTTACTGGTTGTTTGTTTGCAGCCAGGCAGGTTAGCCAGCATGTACGGGGGAGAGACAGTCGCAGCTTAAAAGTGGGGCTGGAAGCTTGTTAAAAGTGCCCCCTAATAAGGAATCCAAGACTTTAGTATTGGTTTAGTATTGGCGCAATTAAAAATCAATTGTGCGGAGTGGAAATCTGGTCCCGGGCCCCGGATTTCCATTTTTTATTAATTGGGGTCATTCATTAATAGGGGGAAGAGATTAGTTTAGACCCAAAACCTTTCAGTAATTGAACGTCATTTTGCAGTGCTCTGCTCTCAGGGCCCTTGAATGGCCTCATCACGGCGTGGAACAAAGCCTTTGATTTCGGGCAAGTGTTTGCAAAACAAACGATTTCTGACCTTGGGTCGCAATGTCACTTGCAAGAAACTCGTCCGTGTTGCCGTCAAACACGTCACCCATCCACAAGCTCAAAGAAACGTGCAAAAGGTACCCCAAACCACAACCCCAAGGCGTCAGGGATATACAACCACTATATTTATATATATATATATATACATGGGTGTGTCCTTTTTCGGGGACCCCAAAATGACTTCGGTTTTCCTTTAGGCTTCAATTTAAAACCACCAAAAGGGGAGAACCCTCCAAAAACTGACGAGCCACCCTTGTAGTCTCTGTAGAGAGGGCATACATGAATTCCCGTTTCCGCATGGGTCTCAGTGGTTTGGGGGCGGAAACCTCAAAAAAAGACGCCTGGGAAAACCTCTGAGTTCTCAAAATTGGAATCGGTGCAATTTTTCATGGGTGTCCTGATTAGAACCAAAGGGGGTCCGTGCTCAGCATTTTGAGAAATACTCCTATGAGCCTTGAAATTGATGCCAGCATTTGGCACTGCCAGCAAGTAGACACCAATGTAGGCCTATTCAACTTGAAGGAGCAGTTGCAGCCAAAATAGGCAAGCTTCACCTGAATCCTTTCAGTAGCTGCGAGCACGAAAACAATGATTGTGTCAGCTAGGCATCTTCTTTGTGTCCTTGGACAAAGCCCTCGAAGATCGACATCCTCGCAGGGCATCGATGCTTGCAAGACTTTGCAAGAGAATCCTCTAGATCAGCTGAGGAAGACTTTCTATCCTTTCAGGGGCCCAGCGTGTGTTAGCTTTCAGCGCTCGGTCCAGCCATCCAGCTTGGCCGGCGGCGGCCAGCTTCCAGGTTTCGCGCGCTTCACACCCAGATGCTAGCTTGTGTGATTTTGGCAATGTTGACCCCAAAAAAAAATCAACCCCAGCTTAGTAGTAGTGGTGTTCCCCTTCAAAGTGATGAATCTCCGCATTTCACCCAGGGACACCCCCTAATAAACTGGGGACTAATACATTGTTTCGTGCCGCCAGAAAACACGTCAGGTGCAGCTGCGCATTCAGGCGAAACATGGGGATCTGGCGTCTGCGCGCGTTTGCTTCGCGCGTCTGCGGCTGAGGGCCTCACGCAAGCAACCAGGATTTACCGCTGCCAAGAGCCAATCAAGAGAAAAGCATTCATGATGATTGGGGTCCCTACCCTCCATTTGCTTACATCCCCTGCACCACAAAAAAAACATGTCCAGTAGTGATAGATTCCCTTTAAAGCCAACAGGGGAGAACTCTTCTTAAGCAAGTGGGAGCTACAGTACACGCCCAGGTTTTCCTCCTGTCCCGAGGCCCCAGCCGGCCAAAATGCAGATGGGGATCTGCATCTGGGCATCCATGTTCATCTGGATGAAGCTGTCCTGCCGTTTTCTCCCAAAATATGTTTGTTGGCGGGGGAAAAGAACAACATGGAAGTCTGATCTTGGCTATAGTTGAACCTTAAGCCCAGGATATATGAAATCTACGCTACCATCATCATTTTTGTACAGGGCAGATATAAGATGGTACCAAGCATTGACTCAGTAATGGACATTCCCAGCGGTCACATTGGGCCCCTTCTACATTCGATCACAGGAGTCCCGTCCGCTTTGCTCTTGGCTCGCAAGGACGAACAATGCCACTTCGTCAAAAAGAACTCCTACACTTGATGTGCCAGGTCCTGGTTGAACGGCTGATGTTCTTTCCTGAAAGGTGTATGCAAACTCTTGGGTAAATCACCTAGCCTATCACGCATGAGCAGAAGCCAAAAACGGTTGCATGCTGCTGAACAAGAACAATGGAACCATTCGTTGGTTGGTGTGCAAGTGTGTTCCTGGGTTGTGCTCATTGAAGCTCGTGGCAACAGCCGCTCGGTCAAGTGCGCTTGCATGCTAATCAAATCTGAGGAGGGCTGAGCTACTCAACACGGAGCAACTTCATTTGAGGACATGGTGTATTTTTGGGGTTTATGTATTGATGCGGTCGGTATGGCAGATCCCACCCACAACACCCACCAAATGAACAGTGAACTGCACCCTTTCCTCCATAAACCCAAGCAACGGGCAAACGGTCATTATGCGCCGATGGCTCCAAAGATTAGGCAAGGTTTTTCAACAAGAACAAGGGCTTCAAATCCGCAGTTCCCACCGGTTCCAACCATCAACTGGAGGTCATGTGTTTGTTGGAGTGGTTTCAACCACATAATTACCCTCAGTCCAAGGGGTAACGGTGAATATATGAAAGTCCCCTATCGTTTTTGTTTGAGAGTCCCCTATCGTTTGCCATGCTTTATTGTGCATTTTCACAACATCCACGAAACACCGAATACTAAACTGAACAAAAGTCATACAGTACTTCATATCTTTCTTTTCGGCCTGCGAGCCTGGGCGAGCCGCAGCCTGTCCTCCTGGAGGTTCTCCCTGGACATGAGATGCTCCAGCCTTGGCTCACAGCTCCAACTGCCCGCGGTCGATACCAGCGGTTTTCACAAACAATGGCCGCGTAGCCTGTGTTCGTCATAGTGGGGGTTCTCTGAAAATGGTGGTCCCCTACAATGGTGGGCGTTCTTTTGGTTCTCCTTTACACATATCAAAAGGAGGTTCCACCACTTCAAGAAGCCCGAAAGCAATCTCCCAACCAGCAAAACGTGGCAACCGGCCAAACCGTACGCATATGTTTTTTCAGGCCCTCCGACTTCTCCTGCACCTTTTGCAGCTTCTCCTCGCGATCCTCACGAGCGAAAGTGTCGTGCGGCCCCATGGGTTTGTCTCTAAATGGGAATTCCACAAAACGGTCCTGTTGGTGCGCAACTGGAAAGCCAAGGTGTTTCCAAAAGTAGGGGATTAGCTGTTTTTGAGGTTCATTCCTTTGAGGTTGAGTTTACCCCGCATTTCATTTCAGGGGGCCCGCACGGACGGCTGTTTCTCAAAATCGCTTCGAATCGATCCCCCTTTCGGATGGCTTTCAGGGGCAAAGGGCAAGCCAACCACCTGAAGGAATGGGCCCCTTTTTAGAACCACCCCCCCCCCCCCGCGGACTCCTCGGCCTCTGCCATGTCGGACTTGTCTCAGGCTCGATGGGACCTTGGCCACATGTGGTGCGGACTCCAAATCGCTGGAACTGGCTCGGGCAAACCGCGTCCCTCTGGGGGTTGTTCCGGTCGATGGCTTCCTGATCATGTTTATCTGGGGTTGCCATTAACATCCGTCAACCTTCGAGTCTCTCAAACCAGCACCTCGTGCATGAACTGCACTTGACAAGATCGCCACCTTTTAGTGCAAACTTGCTTGGGGCGGCCCCCAAGCGGCACGGATGACACGCCCGCACATGCCGTGGCAACTGCAAAGGGACTGTGTCGTTCGCGTCTCACTAATTTGTCAATGGAAAGTGGCAAGGGGAACATTTTGTCACGTTTGATGAGAAATTGAGCAGGGGTGGCCTGCTCTGGTTCCGTGCTTTGCGAGCCGTCGAACAGCAAGCGGCCAAGCCGCTGTATCAGCAGGATGTCAGGCGCAGGTCTTTCAACCGCAGTGAGTCAACCCATTGACTTGGTGCCCATATGTCCCACTTGAAACGTCGCACCCAATTCGCCCCCCCCCCCCCCCCCCCCCGGGTCAAGTGCCAAAGTCGACCTTGGCTGAGCTCGAGGCATCGCTGCATGGCCGCGCATGGGCGGCGTCTGCGCTGACGCAGGGTGAGGCGCCAAGTGCGCAGTCGTTTCGGTTTTGGGATGGGTTTGGGGCTGAGTCACGCGTTTGTGTGGCGAATCGCCGTTGCCCTGTTCTTGATTGTTGGGCGCCAGTATTGGAACGACACAGCTCCTTGTGAGCCTTCTGTGGGATGTCCATGCCGATGGCTAACACGTGGCATCTCGTCGTGCCACTCGCCTGGAAGTTGGCTTCCCTGCCATCAGTTATAGATCCCAGCAGAATCGAAAAACACCAGCCGCTGTTGAGCCATGGACGACGAAAGACGCGAGTCAAGCTGCAGTAAGCTGCATGGACACATGCTTTGAAGGGCTCAATGCCTATCCCCCCACGCGAATCACTGAACAGCGGCTAAGCATAAACCTGTCAAGGGCCAGGCGGAATGCATCGCGGCCTGCGAACTGGCTTCCTTATTGGACAGCCCCTGTGCCTTCTGACACGTAATCCCGGCAAGCTCATGTCATGCAAAGGCCCGATCCATCGGCACCTCCACCCCTGCAGATCTTCACAGTTGGTCCTAACAAATACACGGGCTCGATCAACCAGGTCCAGGCTACCATCAGACAATTAGTTTGCCTCGGCCCCAGACCCCTTCAGACCCAAATAGCAGCGCCCCTGTTTGAACATGTCCATGTGGTTTGGCCCAACACAGGTTTAGCTAAAATTAGGGGCCCCGCTCACCAGAAGACCCCGGGCAGCCATGGGCGCATTGGGGCTCAATGAGGCCCAACTCTGAAAACACAGGTTTCCTGATCTCCGGGCTGTGGTCCTGCAAATCGGAACATGCGATACAGGAATATCCATGAGCTTGAAACCGGCTTAGCAGGAGTTCCCGAAAGTCCTTGTGTGACATACATGTGACATCCGTTTTCCGTACTTGCAGAACCAAGCTTCCAACCAGGCGCCCTATGCAATCGCTTCGGATTGTGTATATATTTATATAGATATATATATATATCTAATATGTGTGTGGGTGTGCCTTGTCAAATGGCAACACAAAGTGTACTTCCTTTTTTTCATGGTCCAAATTGACCGATTTCTCTCACACACATGCGTATGCACTGATACGTTTCTCCGGTTTCTCGCCCCGCTTCGCTCCGCTCGCCGGCACGCATTTTCCTTCACAGCAAACCGTCTGGGGTTCTTTCTTGGCGCTCGCTGCGCCCGATCCTTTCGGGTCAGGATCAACAGGTTGGGCTCAAGTTGGAACCCGTCCACTAACCTGGTTGTATTTTTCCACCAAACCCACTCTCATTTTCGGGGTTCAAAGGGAAGCCAGAAAGAACATCGCCACTTTGAGAGACCCCAAAACCAATGTCCTTTCCCCCCCCCCTGCCCCATGGTTCTCAGAACCCTTCGATGAGAAGCTCTTCTAAGAACGTTTCTTGGGTTGTGGCACCCAGGATTTTTCCCGCAGAACACCGTAAGAGACTGCGTAAGGCGCATAGCAGGCTTTGTTCTTGGGGGGTTGAACATGACGGGTGGGTAATTGATCCGGTGCTCTGACCAGTTTCCATAGTTCGATGGGGGGCCTTGAGGTCTAGGTCATTTTGAGATTTGGGTTTCTGGTTTTGGAGGTTGCCCTTGTTGGGGTTGGTTTACCGGGGAACCAAACGGACAACCACCATTTTGGTGTCTCCCTGTTTGAGACAAACCTATTGGTTATTCGAAGCTTGTGCTGTGTGGAGAATCTGGCGCTGAACTGCAACATTTTGAAGCGAGCATTATTGCAAGATCTCCAGAGGTCTTTGATTCCTGGCCTGACCCTGTGGAATGCAGTCACAAGTCGTGAGACATGGACTGTGGGGGAGAAACGGCGCATCGTCTTCTTCTTCTTTTTCTCCGCATGGCCTTGTTTCACAAGTGTGTAGCCGTATTCTACGAGGTGATTCCCAATCCCGCGCATCCCTTTTGAAAGACTCTCCCGCGGCTTAAGCCAAAGGATTGAAAGGCTTCCATCGCAAAACTGATCTTGAAGAAACTCTTCACTTGACATCAAGCACGGCAAACGGCGGAGTGGGGGCGGGGGGGGGGGGTTTCGGCATGCATTGAGCGCCCATTTTCCCCACAGATCCTTGGTTCTACCAACATGGGTAAGGATTTTACAACATTGCTATATTCCCCAACTCGGGAAGTAGAACCAACTAAAATGGAACCAATGGATAGTTTGGCTGCACTGTTGCTGGCTCGGTTTGCACCGGATCCCTACACCTTTCCTGGGCCCACATGGTCGAAAACTGACCATCATCCCCAAGAAGACGTGCAAAGATTCGTGAGTCACCTTGAGTCCCATGTCCCTCCCGAATGGGCCATCAGTTGACTGTGTTGAACGCTCTTGTCATCCTTCCTGGCATGGAAAAACTGTACCCAGGGCACGAAGTGGTGCCACAACAAAGCGATGAACCGAGTCGAACAGGGGTAGAAAGATCACAAAAGCATATCCCCAGCCCAACCAGCCCTCAAGTCTCCCCCCACTTCCCGGGCAAGCAGCTTGTCTGGCGCTGGCCCTGACATGTGGCGCCAAATCGTGGAAGGACTGGTTTACCACAGCGCAAAGCAGCTTTCTACAAAAAGGGCACTTTTCGAAAAACGCGCAAGCAGTCCTGTGCACCACTCTATCGTCCTATCTATTTCGTGGGCAATATGTCCCTGTTTCCCGCAGGGTCGGCACTCCTGAGCAACGCAGATTTTGGAGGCGGTCGTGCTCTTGTGCCTTCTCTGGGCGTCCAATAGGACTGCGGTAGGAAAGACGAACACATGGCTTTTTTCTCGATTTTCCAGTGCTGAAGAGTACCATCATTCATCCTCTCCAAAATTGGGGGATGGCCTTGAGGCGGGGTACCCTATCGTGAGCTTGTGAAACTTTGACATCTCAAACAGGAGTAAGAAATTCGCCGTGTCTAGCAGCATTTTCTGGGATTTGGGTAGGCAACACTTAGTATTACTATATACCAAACATATTGCGCTGTTTCATGTTTGCATGATATATTTTAAAAAATGCGCTGTTTCATGTTTGATGATTAGTTTTGCCGGGCAAAAAGGGGCGTGACTTGAGCGAGCTTCGGTGGCCTAGCGGCAGCGTGGGCATCTCGGTGCTGGGGCCCTCGTGGAGGGCACCTGTCAGGGGAACCCGACCATGTCGCGCTCTTTTGGAGACCCGTTCGCCTTTTTGAGGTGGGGTAAAGGCGGTGACTGTAGGGTGCGCTTTTTTTGAAGGGAAACCGAAAAAGAACCCATCCGGGGTTCAGGGGAAAACCCCAAAGAACGCCATAGGGGGACCCAGCTGGACCTGGACACATACCCGAGAAAAGTCGCCACGTCAAGGCGCCTCTCAGTGGAACAAACTGGTAGGGCACCCGTGCTGACCCTGACGCGAGTGCACACTCGACCTGAAGACGATGACGATGACGATGATGCTGACGACGATGACGATGAGGATTAGGATAATGGCGATGGTGATGCCGTGGTAGGCGCATCGGATGAAGTCACATGTCAATGTGTCTCTGAGCACGGTCTCGCATACAAGTAGTCAGGAAAGTTTGAATGCAAGATACGACCCAAGCCTGCAGCAATTTCTCGCCTGTAACCTATCACGGGAAAGCCAGCTGTGGCTTGCCTCCGACTCATTCAGGGTCGGGTTCCAAATGAAACTGCTACTTTTGGGGATCCACTGAAAAGCTACGTTGCCATGACACTGCCACTTCTGGAGGCGTTCACAAAGATGTCTGTGTTGTGTGTGTGTGTGTGTCTTGAAATAGGAGCACTCTCAAACAGACTGTTCAACCGTCCCCGAACCGCCAAAAAAGAGAAGAACCAACTACCAGAAATCATGCAACCCATTTGGAGCTCCCCCCCAACCCCCCACCCCCAACCCAGCCCCCACCCCACCCCCTCGCTCTCCACCCCCCACTCTCCCCCCCCCACCCCCACTCCACCACCCCCACCCCAACCCCCACCGCCCCCCCCAGCCCCCCACCCCCGCGGCTTTTGCCTGGGCTGGGCTTCGCAAGGACGGTGCCCTGCTCCAGCTCGTTGGCCTAGGTCGGCTCGACCCGCAGGGGACTCGTTTGAGCTTCGGTTGGCGAAGCTTTGGTAAAGGTTTGTTTGGTGAAGGTCTGTTTGGGGGGGTTGAGGTGAGGTTGGGAACCGAGTTTTGTGGGGAAACCAAATTTGGGCTTGGGTTGGGAAACCGATAATGTGGGAGGCTTTGTCAGATCCATCTAGGTCTAGGCAAAGACACCCAATGAGGGAGGCTCGGCCCACGAGCAAAAAAAGACAATGGGCCAGGCAGGTTGGTGGAGTACCTTTGTCGGGGTTGGTTTTTCTCGGGCCCCACAAGGAAAACCACCAAAAGGGGGCTGGGTGTTTTTTGAGGGTGCCCTTTTCAAGGCTGGCTGGCTTAATCGAAGCCAGTGTTTGTTTGTTTGTTTGATTGATTGATTGCTTGCTTGCTTGATCGTTTGATTGGTTGATTGTTTGAATGATTGAGTGGTTGCTTGATTGTTTGATTGGTTGATTGTTTGAATGATTGATTGATTGGTTGATGAATTCATTGATTCATTGATTGATTGATTGATGGATTGATTTGATTGCTTGATTGATTTAATTGGGTTTGATTGGACTGGATTAGATTGGATTTGATTGGATTTGATTTGACTGATTGATTGGAATTGAATTGAATTGAATTGAATTGAATTGAATTGATTTGATTTGAATTGAATTGAATTGATTGATTGATTGATTCATTGATTGATTGATTGATTGATTGATTGATTGATTGATTGATTGATTGGCTTGATCGTTTGCTTGTTTGCTTGCTTGCCTGCTTGCTTGATTGGTTGATTCGTTGATTGTTTGCTTGCTTGATTGATTGTTTTGTTTGTTGGATTGCTTGTTTGATAGTTTGTGTTTGATTGCTTGTTTGTTTAATTGTGTCTTTGTTTGTTTGCTTGATTGTTTGCTTGATTGCTTGTTTGTTTGATTGTTTGTTTGTTTGTTTGTTTGGTTTTTGTTGTTTGTGTGTTTGTGGTGTGTTTGTGTGTTTGTGTGTTTGTGTGTTTGTGTGTTTGTGTGTTTGTGTGTTTGTGTGTTTGTGTGCTTGTGTGCTTGTGTGCTTGTGTGTTTCTTTGTTTGTTTGTTTGTTTGTTTGTTTGTTTGTTTGTTTGTTTGTTTGTTTGTTTGTTTGTTTGTTTGTTTGTTTGTGTGTTTGTTTGTTTGTTTGTTTGTTTGTTTGTTTGTTTGTTTGTTTGTTTGTTTGTTTGTTTGTTCCTTTGTTTGTTCCTTTGTTTGTTTCTTTGTTTGTTTCTTTGTTTGTTTCTTTGTTTGTTTCTTTGTTTGTTTCTTTGTTTATTTGTTTCTTTCTTTCTTTCTTTCTTTCTTTCTCTTTCTTTGTTTGCTTGCTTGCTTGCTTGTTTGTTTGTTTGTTTGTTTGTGTCTGTTTGTTTGTTTGTTTGTTTGTTTGTTTGTTTGTTTGTTTGTTTGTTCGTTCGTTCGTTCCTTCGTTCGTTCGTTCGTTCGTTTGTTTGTTTGTTTGTTTGTTTGTGTTTGTTTTTGTTTGGTTTCGTTTGTTAATGTTTGTTTGCTTGCTTGCTTGCTTGATTGCTCGCTTGCTTGCTTGCTTGCTTGTTTTCTTGTTTGTTTGTTTGTTTGTTTGTTTGTTTGTTTGTTTGTTTGTTTGTTTGTTTGTTTGTTTGTTGCTTCTTTTGTTGGGGGAGGCTACTTTCACATCGGCAAGCCCAAATGGTGGTTTGATACTTGAAACACTTTGCCGACGTGGTCCGGCTTTTGCCTGGGAATCTATCAGAAAGTCTTGTTGCGCAACATCCAGTGATAAGCTCGGGTGTGCTTCGGCGCGATGTCAGGACCAGGGAGCCCGGGGGACAATGATACGCTCCGGAAGGAAAGTTGAGCATGGTGGAAGCTGGGAAACCCATGTGCGATTCAGCATTCCCAACCTGGCAATATCCCAGAATCCCTTTCCGACATCGGTGGAGACTCCCTGGTTTGTGTTCAATTCTTGTCGGTCGCCGGTCAATCCTAGATGGCTTGCTTTCTCGACTGAGAGTTGGTACGGATGTCATCCACATTGAAAACCGTATCGAAAATGGCGCTCAGAGAAACATCAAGGAAAACCAGCAGCGAAAGTGGCTCGAGCTTTACGTGTTTCTGCTTCGCCAAGCTCTGTAATGATGAGCCTGCTGGTATGAATGGAATCGTGATAGGAGTTTCTGCGCTTTGGGGACTGATCCACAATCTGATCCATCTTTAGAATGGCGAGGTAAGAGCTTGCCATTTCTGGACAAGAAACAAACCCCTGGTTGGGACCTTCAATCGCGAGTCAATGGAAAAGACCGGCTGGCTCATGGAATAGGAGCCGATGATGTGGGACTTAGGGTCAATTGAGCTTGGCTGAAGCTACGAGTACCGGGGAAAGAAGGCAAATGGGAAACCACTCTCATGGTTTGGGCTTGATTTGGAGACACATCCACTTGCCTCAAAGCTTGTAGACTGCGCTCCAGAACCCAAAACCGCGCCTGCACGGCCCACTCCTGTCGCACGGCGTCCTGTACCTGGTTTCCCCAACCCATCCCACACGCTGACTTGAACCCACGGGCGTCGGCTCACATCTGGGGACAGAGAGAGAGTGAGCCCCAACATTTTAAATACGTTGGAGGAAACCCCAGTCTTGGGGGGAAG